ATATATAAGAGATTTATATTAAGGAAATGGCTCACATAGTTTTTAGAGACTATACGTTCCAAGTCCATGAGGCAGGAAAGAGGAGTCTCCTGATTCATGTAGCCAAGTACCAGAGGCCAGATGAACAGGAGCCAGCTGCAGGATGCAGAACAAGCAAAAGCCCCAGCAAGGCAAGCAGGAGGGAAGTAGGCAGAGGATGGCGGAGAAGATCCAGAAGGTTGGGGGGCAGTGAGCCGCCACAGGCCCCACCACCACCGGCTCCACTCAGCAGATTCTATTATGGGGATGATCACATATCAAATTTCAACAGGGAAGTCATCACAACATTATACAACTGCCAAAACACAGAGAACCATAGCCCAGCCAACCTGACACACAATCTTAACCATCACAATTCACTAGGCCTTCTGAGGCTCCTCTGGGTGGACTCAAACCCGAAATATTTTGGTTAGCAGCGAACCTGCAACATTTTGGTTAGCATCCAAACACATTAACCATTTGCACCACCCAGGGACTTGGGTAAAATAAGCACTATATAAGTCTTAGCATATTTTATGGCTTTAAAATGGAGATAATAATTAAACTGACACATATGATTGTTGGTTATTTCTTCATTGTTGAATTTTCCTTTGACAGCCAAACCTGTGCCTAGGCACTGGGGCGAAGCCATAAACACTACAGACAAAGATGCCTACCCTTGTGGACTTGACATCCTAGTAGGAGAGACAGATAAAACATAAATAAGTCTTCACCTTGAAATCAGAAACAAGACCAGGGTGCCTCCTGTCACCACTCCTATTCAATATTGTATTAGAAGTTCTAGCCAGAGCAATAGGACAAGAAAAAGTAATAAAAGTTATACTGATTGGAAAAGAAGTAAAATTACCTATATTTGCAGATGGCATTATCCTATACATAGAAAATCCCAAAGAGTCCACAAGAAAAATTCTAGAACTAATAAAGAAATTTAGCAAATTTGTAGGGTACAAGGTCAACAAACAAAAATCAGTTAAGTTTCTACACACCACCAATGTGAAATCTGAAAGAAAAATTAGGGAAGCAATTTCATTTACAATAGCATCTAATAGAATAAAATACCTAGGAATAAATCTAAACAGGGACGTGAAGGAGTTATACAATGAAAACTACAAAACACTGCTGAAAGAGATTTAAAAAGACAAATAAATGGAAAGATGTTCCGTGTTCACGGATTGGAAGACAATGTTGTCAAGATGTCAGTACTACCCAAAGCGATATATAGATTCAACACAATCCAGATCAAAATTCCAACAGCCTTCTCTACAGAAATAGTAAAATCAATCCTCGACTTTATATGGAATGGCAATAGGCCCTGAAAAGCTAATGCAATGTTGAAAGAGAAGAAGTAGGAGAACTCTCACTTCCTGATTTTAAAACATATTATACAGCTGTAGTAATCAAAACAGCCTGGTAATGGCAGAACAATAGACACATAAACCAAAGGAATAGAATCAAGGGTCCAGAAATAAACTTACACGTCTGTGGTCAACTAATTTTTGACAAGGGTGCTAAGTCTGTCATACTGTCGGGGCTTGCATGTTGCTGTGATACTGGAAGCTATGCCACCAGTATTCAAATACCAGCAGGGTCACCCATGGCTGACCAGTTTCAGCTGAGCTTCCAGACTAAAACAGACTAGGAAGAAGAACGTGGAAATCTACTTCTGAAAATAATTAGCCAGTGAAAACCTTATGAACAGCAGCAGAACATTGATATAGTGCCAGAAGATGAGCCCATCATGTTGGAAGGCGTTCAAAAGATGACTGGGGAAGAGCTGCCTTCTCAAAGTAGAGTTGACCTTAAAGACGTGGAGGGAGTCAAGCTTTCAGGACCTTCATTTGCTGATGTGGCACGACTCAAAACAAGAAGAAACAGCTGAAAACATCCATTCATAATTGGAACGGGGGGGGTGGAGCCAACATGGTGCTATAGACAGAAGCGCCACGACATCCCTCCACAGCAAAGACCTGAAAAACTAAGTAAAAAAGATACAAACATCAATCCTGGGACCCTAAGCATCAAAAGAAGGGATAAAGAACTCAATCAATCACCGAATGGAATAAGAAACTGTCAGAGAACAGAAAAAGAGGAGATCTACTGAGTGGAGGTCTCCTATCAGCTAAAGTGGCATGGATTCACCATCTTGGATCCCTCAGCCACCAAGAATGGCAGACAGGGAGTATGGGAAGGCAACTTCACGGAGCTTGAGCAGGAGACAGAGCACCCGGTAACCAGGGATACATGGTTTCCTACTCCCTACCCTTCTTACCTCTGCCCGGACTCCACCACTTTCTGGAGAGGTGAAGTCCCTTGGCCAAGGACACGCCAGCTCCTTGCCACTTGGATTCGCCCCGCCCCCACCAGCCGGCTCCTTCAGTGTCATTTTTTTTGTTGCTGTTGTTAGTTTTTTTGGCTTCTTCTGGTTTCTTCTCTCTCTCACCTCCTTCCTTTCCTTTCTCCAGACCATCAGACGCAATGTGCCATCTCTGCTCCTTCAAGATGGGCTGTGCAGCACCTCTCGGCTGGGGCGTCACTTCCCCAGTCTCTGCCGCCAAGTCGGTGGGCTCCCCTGGGGCTTTGTTTTCTCTCTTGCTCTCTTTTTTCCTTTTTCAGGTTCTTGTCTCTCTCTACCTTCTTTCCTTTCCTTCCTCTCAACCACCTGACATTTTTTTCTCAGATTCTTGTCTCTCTCTCCCTTCTTTCCTTTCCTATCTCCCGCCTACCTAGCTGTGTGTGCTGTCTCTACCCCCTCTTGACAGGCTGTGCCACCTGCCCAGCTAGAAAGCCACTGCTTCACAGCTTTCCTGGGTCTATGCCACTCCACTGGCAGGCTCCCTCAGCATCCTTTTCTTTCTTTCTTTTTGCTTCTGTTTCTCTATCGTCTGTCTCGTCTTTCCCACACCCACTCAGCTCCACATATCACATTCATCCCTCTTCTCTCCTGTCTATCTGCACTGCGCACTGAGCACCACACCCCCAAGTGGCACAGGTGCATATCACCGGAACCCGCCCTGTGCTACCCTCTGATCCCACCTTTTTGGCCCCAGTACCTGCCACAAACAACCCATATCCGCCCCTCCACCCCCGCTGGACCTGCCCTGTGGCAACATAGCTGAGTGACTGGTCCTGCCCACCTGAACAAGGTGATGAGAAATATCATGCCCACAGATGAGCAAACAACAAAGAAATCCCAGCCTGCCTGCCCAAACATAAACAAAGAAATAAAGCAGGATGAAACAAACAAATCTACAATTAATAAACAAAAAAATCATTCCTGAATGTCCTTAAGACAGTAGACAATATCAAAACATTTAAAAAAAAAAAAAAAAACACAGGACAGGATGGTGCCAGTAAGTGTCCAAAATAAAACACCAGATGACCTTCCAATAGAAGAAATGGCACCAGAACTACCTGATAAGGAATTCAAAACTAATATCCGGGGCTCTCCAAGAGATGAAGCAAAACGAAGACAAAGATAAGGAAAAATAGAACAAAATAATGGAAAATACAGACAAAACAATGGAAGAATTCAGGAAAATAATATAGAAATAAAGTGTAAAAATAAACCCACAACTAGAAACCACACAGAAACGGAAATTAGAAATCCAAAATATAAACAACAAGATTTCAGAAATGGACAGTGTCATAGAAGGTTCAAGGAGCAAGTTTGAAACAATGGAAGAAAGAATCAACGAAATTGAAGGCAAATCTTTGGATACCACTTTGTTTGAGAAAAAAATAGAAAAGAAGGAAGAAAAATGAAGAAACACTGAGAACTATGTGGGATACAATGAAGAGCAAAAATTTGTGGTGATCAGAGTTCCAGAACAGGGGGAGAAAATGGAAAACAGAGAATCACTGAAGAATTGCTAACAGAAAACCTCCCTACTATCCTGAAAGATGAAAGCTGACCATCCAAGAAGCTAAACGAACACCATATACGATAGACTCCAAAAGAAAATCACCAAGACATGTCATAATCACACTTGCTAAAACCAAAGACAGAGAAAGAATCCTGAGAGCAGCTCGAGAAAAATGAAAAGTCTCGTACAGAGGGAAAACAATAAGACTAAGCTCTGATTACTCGGCAGAAACCATACAGGCAAGAAGGCAATAGGATGTCATATATAAAACCTTGAAAGAAAAAAAGTTGACAACCAAGAAAAATATTTCCTGCAAAACTCTCACTCAAATATGATGGCAAAATTAGAACATTTCTAGATAAACAGAAATTAAGGGAATATGTAAAAACCAAATCAACCTTACAAAAATTATGGACGCAAGTGCTTCAGTTAGAGAACCAACAACAGACAACTGCTTGAATCTAGGACACAAGGCTGCATCAGCCACATACCAACCTAGGTAATGAACTATGAAGGATTAAAAAAAAAAAAAACTAAAAAATTCACAACAGGGAACAACCAGAGAAGCTAATTTGTAAATTACAACAAGGGCAGAACAATAAAAGAGGGAATAAACAGTCTAGGTATAGAACTCTCTAATGAAGAGGAAGTCAAGGCGATACCAAGTAATAAAAGACCAGTTCAAACTTAGGAAGATGGGGTAAATTTCAAGGCAAAAACAAAGAAAGTAAACAAACCTGCTCATCAAAAATAAAGAAGAAAAACATAAAGTCTCAGTAAACACAAAATCTACAAAAATGAAAGAAACGAAAATAAGTCCACAAACAAAAGGAATTCAGCACAGGAGAGTAAGAAGAACAAAGAAAACGTCAGCACCACAAAAAAAAGGCACTACAAAATGACAGCAATAAACTCACACCTATTAATAATCACACGGAATGTAAATGGCCTAAATGCACCCATAAAGAGACAGTTACAGAATGGATTAAAAACCAGGACCCATCTACAAGAGACACACCTTGGAAACATAAATTTATTACAAATTAAAGGATGGGGAAAAAATTATCAAGCAAACAGCAACCAGAAAAGAGCAGGAGTGGCAATATTAATCTCAGATAAAATAGACTTTAAAACAAAATCCACCATAAAAGACAAAGAAGGGCATTATATAATGATTAAAAGGACAATCCATCATGAAGACAACCATAATAAATGTCTACGCATCCAATGACAGGGCTCTTAAATACATGAAACAAACTCTAACAGCACTGAAAAGAGAAATTGACAGTTCTGCAATAATAGTAGGAGACTTCAACAAATTACTCTCGATAAAGGACAGAACATCTAGAAAAAACTCAACAAAGATACAGAAGCTCTAAAGGCCACAATCAGTACCAACTTCACCTCATAGACATATATAGAACACTCCACCCAACAGCAACAAAGTACACATTCTTTTCCAATGCACGTGGATGTTCCGCATAATAGACCACACCTTAGGCCACAAAGCAACCCTCAACAAAATCCAAAACACTGAGATAATACAAAATATCTTCTCAGATCACAAAGCCATAAAAGTAGAAATTAACAACAGGAAGAGCAAGGGAAAAAAATCAAATAAATGGAAACTGAATTACACCCTGCTTAAAAACCACTGGGTAATAGAAGAAATCAAAGATGGGAACAAAAAAATTCCTAGAATCAAACAAGAATAAAAACACATTATACGAAACCTGTGGGACACAGCAAAGGCAGTTCTCAGAGATCAATTTATAGCAATAGATGCACACATCAAAAAAGGAGAAAGGAACAAAATCAAAACAATTGCTACACAACTCCAACAAATAGAAAGAGAACAGCAAAAGCCCACAGCCACCAGAATAAAGGAAATAATAAAGATCAGAGCAGAAATAAATGAAATGGAGAATAGAAAAATAATAGAAAGAATCAACAAAATCAAAACTTTGTTCTTTGAAAGGATCAACAAAATCGACAAACCATTGGCCAAACTGACAAAAGAAAAACAGGAGAAGATGCAAATAACCCAAATAAGAAATGAAATGGGGGACATTAGAAAAGACCCAACCAAAATAAAAAGGATCATAACAGAGTACTATGAAAAACTATACTCCAACAAATTTGAAAACCTAGAGGAAATGAAAAAATTTCTAGAAACACAGTACCTACCTAGACTAACAGAAACTGAGATCAAAAATATGAACAGACCTATAACAAGAGAAGAGATCGAAAAGGTAATTAAAAAAACTCCCAACAAAAAAAAAAAGCACTGGCTCAGATGGCTTCACTGGAGAATTTTAACAAACATTCAGAGAAGAGCTCACATCAGTACTACTCAAACTGTTTCAGAACATAGAAAGGAAGAGATACTTCTGAGTTCATTCTATGAAGCGGGCATAACCCTGATACCAAAACCAGGCAAAGACACCACAAAAAAAGAAAATTACAGACCAAAATCTCTCATGAATATAGAGGCAAAAATTCTCAACAAAATTCTAGCCAATAGAATTCAGCATCATATCAAAAAAATTATACACCAAGACCAAGTGGGATTCATACCAGGTATGCAAGGATGGTTCAACATCAGAAAATAAATTACCATAATCCACCACATAAACAAAACGAAATAAAATAATCACATGGTCATCTCAATCGACGAAGAGAAGGCATTTGACAAAGTCCAACACCCAATCCTGATAAAAACTCTCAATAAAATAGGTATAGAAGAGAAATTCCTCAGCATAATAAAGGGCATCTATACACAACCAACAGTCACCATCATTCTTAACAGAGAGAGCCTGAAAAAATTCCCCCTGAGAACAGGAACAAGAAAAGGATGCCCTTTATCATCATTCCTATTTAACATTGTGCTGGAAGGCCTAGCTAGAGCAATAAGGGATGAAAAATAAAAATAATAAAGAGCATCTAAATTGGTAAGGAAGAAGTAAAACTGTTCCTATTTGGGGATGATATGATACTATACATAGAAAACCCAAAATACTCCATAAGAAAATTACTGGAACTAATAGGAAGATTCAGCTTGATGTTCTTCTCCAGGGACTGATCCCTCCTGACAACGCGTCCAAAGTATGTGAGACGTAGTCTCGCTGTCCTTGCTTCTAAGGAGCATTCTGGCTGTGCTTCTTCCAAGACAGATTTGTTTGTTCTTCCGGAAGTCCATGGTATATTCAATATTCTTCACCAACACCACAATTCAAAGGCACCAATTCTTCTTCTGTCTTCCTTATTCATTGTCCAGCTTTCACATGCATATGAGGTGACAGAAAATACCATGGCTTGGGTCAGGTGCAACTTATTCTTCAAGGTGACATCTTTGCTTTTCAACATTTTAAAGAGGTCTTTTGCATCACATTTGCCCAATGCAAGGTGTCTTTTGATTTCTTGACTGCTGCTTTCATGGGTGTTGACTGTGGATCCAAGTAAAATGAAATCCTTGACAACTTCAGTAGTTGTTTCACATACTATGAACGTGTTATCAGGAGGGACAAGTCCCTGGAGAAGAGCATCATGCTTGGTAGAGGGTCAGCGAAAAAAAGGAAGACCCTCAATGAGATGGATTGACACAGTGACTGCAACAATGGGCTCAAACATAGCAATGATTTTCAGGATGGCACAGAACTTGGTAGTGTTTTGTTCTGTTGTACGTAGGGTCATTATGAGTCAGACCCAAGTCCACAGCACCACCACAACAACAACAAACTATGAGGAAATAAACTTCTGTTTGTTAAAGCCACTCACTTGTTGTATTTCTGTTACAGCAGCACTAGATATCTAAGACAATGGGTGAATGGATGGATGACAGAGCGTTATGTGGACAAATGGAGGATGAAGAGATGAATGGATGGATAAAGAGTTGGATATAAGGATAGTAGAATGAATAGACAAATGGATTTATGAATAAATAGATGGTTGGTTGAATGTTTGGAAGGATGAATGTATGGAGAGAGTGATGGATGGCCAGATGAATGTGAGGGTGGATGAAGGGTTGGATAAACATCCAGATAGATGGAGAAATAGATGAGTGGATAAATCGTTGGTCGTTTGGATGAACGGATGAAAATATGGTTGGATGGATGTTTGGAAAGATTGATGGATGATGAGATGGATGGGTGGAGAGATAAATGGATAGACAAAGCGTTGGTTGAAAGGATGGTTGAACAAACAGATGGATAGATGGAGAGATAGATGAGTGAATGAATTGTTGGATGCTTGGGTGGACAGCTGGCTGGCTGGCTGGTTGGACTTTTAGTTGGATGAATGCATGAAGAGATTGATGCAAGTTGAGATGGATAGGTGGGTAGGTGGATGGATAGATGGATGGAATAACAGGCCATGCAGTGGCTAAGCATGCTGCCTTGGGAGCCAGACCACTTGGATTTGAATTCTAGTTCTGTCATTTATCAGCTGTGTGATTTTGGACAATATGCTTAATTGTTCTGTACCTATTTCCTCATCTATTTCAGAGAGATGATAATAACATCTCCTACCTTCTGGAGTTGGTGTATGGAATGAATGAGTAGATACAAGTAAAGCCCTAAGAGCACTGCCTGGCACATAAGTAGATTTATTATGAAGGGAGGATGGATTGACAGGTGATTAGATGGATGAATGGGCGATGCATGACTGAACCAAGGAAGGAACAGTGAGGCGGAGTCACATACACTCATGAGACATCCTCAGATATTTTATTAGGGGCTTAGAAGGGAGTCCTAGGAAATCCTTCTGTGTTTCCAAGGGCTGTAGCCCCGGGATAGATCAGATCTGGACATAGGACAAGGTAACATCACCCTTGATCTCCAACACGTCCACCCTCTGGAAAGCCGTGAGGCGATGGTAGAAGTCGAAGAGGTGCTGGCCGTTGCCATAGACCTTGAAGCGATCCGTGCCACAGCGAATGGACAGCTGTAGGGAGAAGGGTGGACATGAGGCCAGGGCCAGGATAAAGGCTTTGGAGGGAAGGGAGGATAAAGACCCCAGACTCACATCAAAGAACTGTCCAGGACCAAATGGATTGTAGGAAATATTCCTCTCCTCAGATCCCCATGATCCATTCAAATGGCTGTTCCGAACCACTACACCCTCGTTCAGGCGGGGGTTAATGTGCATGGCCACGTCCCCTGAGGCTCCCACCTTGAAGTTGATGGCGAAGCTAGGGGCAAAGAGGGATATGGTGTCAGAAAGGGATTCCTGGTTCCTCAAGGAAGGAGGAGACTGAGGCCTGGACTCCTGGGTCTGAGGGAGGACTGGGGTCCGGACTCCTGGGTCTGAGGGAAGAGGGGAAGGGGAGGGTTCCCACCTCAACCCAGGTCCTGTACCTCCTGGCTGAGACGGGTACAAAGCCCTTGATTATGATGGTTCTTCGGGCTATAAGCCCCCCTCGCAGTTTCCCAATAAATGGCACAGGCTGTGGGAAGAGAACATGAGATCTCATCCTCTCTCAAGTCATCAGAAGCCGGACAAAGAAAGAAATTTTCAGAGAGGGGCCTCACTCCTCCTGGGACGTGTCCGCAACCTCAGTCCCTTCCCTCACTTTGACATTCCCACTTCATCCTCTCCCCACTTCCTGCCCCAAACACCCCTCTCCCACTATATTTCCTACCCTCTTAGAGTTCCCTAAGGATCAGGGCCCCCTCCCTGCCATCAGTCCCTGCATGCCTTCCAATCGCCCACCACAGAGCCATAACCCCTTCAGGATGCCATACCGGGTTGAAAATTGGGGGTCCCTCCATGGTCTGTGAAGTGAGGAAGAAGAGATGTTATCCTACAATGTTTGACAAATAATTACAGCACATCTATTATGTGCAGGCGTTTCTCTAGGTGCCAAGTTGGTACAACTCATGATCTGACCTGCTAAGCCCTCCCAATTCTCACCATCCTCCCACCATTTGCCCACACAAGGCTCCCACTTACAGGCAGGTTATTCCATGGTGGATGGCTGTGTACAGGACCCTACACGTAGAGATGGAAGGCAGGAATGATGAGGGGGGCTGGGGTGCTTCAACTGCCCCAGGACCACCTCAGCTACTGATCGCCCCCTCAAGGGGAAACCACTACCCACCAGCTGGTACTTACTGGGTATTGCGGCGTAGGGATGGGTCTCTGTGGCCATAGAAAGAGAAAGAGGTGATGAGGGGGACCCCAAACTAAAGACTGGAGGGCGTCGCTGATGCCTGCCCCAGGGAAGCCCGCCACCACTGTCCAAGGGAACTCTGGAGTCAAAAGGTGGCACCCAGATGGCCAATTAGTGGAAAGGGAACACCAAGTTGGAATCTCCAATGTAGTGAACCTCACACTACCCGTTTAAGACAATGTCTGGCAAATTCTATCTTCTGTACCCTCCCCTCCCCTCTCGTTCCTTCCCAGGGCCCTCATTCATCCCTCTGTACCCCTGCAACCCAGAAACTGCATCATAAAGTGTAAATTCCTCAGCGCATTTCCCTAGACCCCACACAATACAATCTCTGCTCACCTCACCTGAAGCCACAGTTTCCCTCACTCAACGTTTCAGCCACTGGGGCAATTTGGGAGTCCCTAGAATCAGCCAAGGGCTCACTCTGTCTCTCCCTTGTCTCTCTCAGGCCCTCTCTCTCTCTGTGTCTCTGTTTCTGTCTCTCTGTCTCTGTCTCTCCATCTCTTTCTTTTTTCTCTCAGGCTCTGTCAGTCTCTGTATGTGTGTCTCTCTATTTCTGTATCTCCCTGTCTCTCCCTTGTCTCTCTTGGGCTCTCTCAGTCTCTGTGTCTGTCTGTCTGTCTCCCCCTCTGTTTCTCTCTGACTCTGTCTCTGTATTTCTCTATCTTTGCCTCTGCTTCTCTCTCTCCCACATCTTTGCACAGGTGGTTCCCGCTGCCGGGAACATCTTTCCCCTCCCTATTTAACTTTTACCCACTGTCTCTGTTTTCCCCCCTTTCTAATTAACTCCTTTTTGCCTTGACTTCTATTTTAAGCCAGCTATTTTTTTTTCTTTATTGTACTTCAGGTGAAGGCTTACAGAACAAATAGTTTCTCATGAAACAGTAGTACACATATTGTTTTATGACATCAGTTAACAACCCCACAACATGTCAACCCTCTAACTTCTCAACCTTTTTTTTTTGGTGAAAATACACATAGCCAAAGATACACCATTTCAAAAATTTCTACATGCACAGTTCAGTGACATTGACCAGGCTCTTCCAATTGTGCTGCTATTCTTACTTAAGATGAAGGCTTACAGAACAAAATAGTTTCTCATTTAACAGTTACTACACATGTTGCCCTATGACAATGGTTAACAATCTCACAACACATCAACAATATCCTTACTCAACCTTGGGTTCCCTATTACCAGCATCCTTGTCCCCTTCTGCCTTCTGGGCCTTGTCACTGGACTCTTGTACCTCATTAGTCCCATTGGGTTTTATGGGGCTGTCCACTCGCAGGCTGAATGGTGAACGTCGGAGATAACTTCACCACTGAGCTAAAAGTGTGTCTGGGGGCCATAATCTCGGGGTTTCTCCAGTCTACTTTAGGCCAGTAAATCTGGTCTTTTTTTATGAGTTAGAATTATGTTCTACATCCTTCTCCAGCTCTGTCCAGAACCCTCTGTTGTGATCTGGGTCAGAGCAGTCAGTGGTGGTAGCTGGGCACCATCTAGCTGTACTGGACTCAGTCCAGTGGAGGCCTTGGTAGCTGTGGTCAATTAGTCCTTCGGACTAATCTTTTCCTTGTATCCTGTTCTCTTCATTCTCCCTTGCTCCCGAAGGGATGAGACCAGTGGAGTATCTTAGATGGCCGCTCACAGGCTTTTAAGACCCCAGACACTACTCACCAAGGTATTAAGCCAGCTATTTTGAGAACCCTTTTAAAATAGCATTGTTGCTTAACTTCTTTAAAAATATTGATGAAGCATGGTAATAAAATGGACAATCGCAGGCCCATTGCCGCCTTATGAATGAAGATGTCGCCAGTGTTTCTTCATCAGAGATGTAGAGGATCAGGATAGTCACAAGCACAGACCTGACTGGGTTTGATCCCTGGCTATGCCACTTACAAGCTCTGTGACCTTGGGCAAGTTACTTAAGCTCTCTGTGCCTCCGTTTTCACATTTATAAAATGGGACTGATGACAATAATTGTATGTTCATTTGGGTCTCTGTAAGGATTAAAGGAGTTGGTAAGCGTAAAGCCCTTAGGGCAGTGCCCACACCCAGTAGGTGTGTGGTCACTATGTAAGCTTTTGTCACGTTTGTGTACCATCCCTGATCCCATTCCTCTGTCTCCCCTCAGGTTACACTACCTGAAATAAGACATACCAGGACTTGTCTTTCTTTGTAGTTTTGCCACTTATGTCTCTAAATCCCTGAACAATATGTTGTGCCTTTCTTATTTTATGAGCTACGAATTTGCTTTTTCAACTCAACATTTTATTACCAAGAGTCACCTTGCTGTTGTGTGTATTTGAAAATTGTTTGTTCTTGCCTTTTAGTGACTGACATATTGTGTCTATCCGTTCTCCTATTGGAAAACATTCTGGTAGTTTGAAATTTGGGGCTTTCACAAATAGCACTGCTGTGGTTATCCTAGGGTGTGAGTTTTGGTGGTGATATGTGCCCTATATACGCAGGAGTGGAGTTTCTGTATCATTGGGCATGTGTTTGTTCAACTTTCACAGACCCTGCCAAGCCATTTTCCAAAGTGGTTGTGCCAATTTACACTTCCAACAGTATGGGAGTGTATGAGAGTTTTGATTGCTCCACATCCTCACCAACACTTGGTATTGTATACCTTTTTCATTGTAATTCTTCTGTTGGGTCTGCAGTGGTATCTCACTGTGGTTTTAATTGTCTCTCACAGATAACTAATGATATTGAGCAACTTCTCATAAGTTTGCTCTTCATGTTTTCTTTATTCCTCTTCATCCTTCACTTCCTAACACAGCTTACACATCTTCTCTCCTCCAGGAGTCCGTTGCTGACTCCATGACTAGGTCAGGCCCCTCCTTCGGACTCCCCAAACCTCTTGTGTATCCCTCATCCCAGCTCTGACTCCTCTGTCTGTGCCTCCCCCACCCAGATCTGACCACTCATGGCCATCACTGTCTGGTAACAAGTCTGTCTTCCCACCGGACTGTCTTGGTCACTGCTGGGTACCAGCATCACCCAACAAAGGGATGTACATAAAACATGTGCTTGGGAAATAAATGAATGTGGGAATGAATTAACAAAGGCAGGAAGCAAGTAAGGGGGAAGACACCACACACCTCGCCGAAGGTGGGCTGGCCTCCAATAAAGTTGATGGATTGAAGCTCCAGGTCCCCATCCACTTGCAGGTGGGTGACCATCTGTAGTGGAATTCGGTGCTTAAACTCGTAGAAGGGAGTTCCATTCACCACCACCTGGAAGGCAGGGATGAGAGATCAAGAATCAACACCAATGACCTTGGGAAGGTAGAAACAAGAAGCAAAGAGTAGTGATCTCAAAGTACAACTTGGGGTCAAAAGTCTAGGGGGCAAGATGAGATTGCTCCAGAGTCGAGGTCCTTGAAGTCCACAGGTCAGAGGTCAAGCAGGGGTCACAAGTCAGCTCACAGATTGTAGAATGGGAGAGAATTAGAGAATTTAGTCTTGAAATGAAGACTGGAAGAAAACTAAGTCTGAGTCCTGGTTTTGGCACCAAATGAAAAAGTTTGAGTTCTAGCTCTGACATGTCCTGGCTGTGTGACCTCAGCTAAGTCACTTCACCTCTCTGAGCCTTTGTTTCCTCATCTGTAAAACAAGGGCTCACTTATCTCTGGGATTACTGAAAAGATTCAAACCCAGAGAAGCACATCAAAGGCATTGTAGAAATCCTGTGTACAACCTGGGCCTTGTTATCATATCTCACCATACCTGAAGTTCATCTTCACGATTTCTATTCATAGAGCTAAGCAAGGACATGGCGCTGCGAGCCAGCTATGAGTAGGACTGAGTGCTTACTGTGTGCTAAGTGCTTGACATGGTAGTATCAATGGAGTCGTGCAACAGTTCTGTAAGGCAGGACCTGGGGTTGTTCCCATTGTTTAATAAAATGGAGGCTCCAGACACTGGAATGACCAGCCCAAGTGTACCACATCAAGCAGGGTAAAGCCCAGACTTGAGCCTGGGTCTGTCCAACACCAAATCATGATGTTAACCTTTGATAATGAAGTTAGAAATCTGGTGTGCATACGAGTAAAGTCCAGGGAGGTTCTCCAATCCAGCAATCCTCCCAACCCCGGACTCTTCTCTTGGGTCATGTGGGAGTGGGCATGAGGATGTCCACTGCAGCTTTATTTATGGGAGAAAGAGGTTGGGGAGGAGGGTGTGGAACTGAGAGAGGACAGATAGCAGAGAGTCCTGCTCATCTGTCAGGAGCTACAGGCCAGGTATGCACAGAACAACACGGGTCTAACACGCAAAATGATGAGTGAGAAAAGAAGGAAGGAAGGAAAGAGAGGAGGGAGAGAGAAGACAAGGAGTGAAAGAGGGAAGGGAGGGAGGGAAAGATAGAAGGAATGGGGAGAGGAGGAGAGGGAGAAGAAGAAAGGAGGAAGGAAATAGAGAGAAAAGGAAAGAGGGAAGGAAAGCAGAGAGAAGGGAAGAAGGAGAGGAAGGAAGGAAATAGAAGGAAGGAAGGAGCAAGGGACAGAGGGAAGAGGGGAGCCCCCACCCACCCTCCTCTCAGACCTTGTAGTGCTCGGCCAAGACCATGAACACCAGCTCGAAGGCGGCGCCCCTGCTGAAAGGCATGCTCAATTTCCTCTCTTCTCTACCCCACTGGCCGTCGTGCTGCGAGTTGAGGACCACCTTGTCCCAGCCATCAAAACGGGGGTTGAAGTGGAAGGCAATGTCTGCCCCGGGGTTATGCCCCACCACGAAGTTCACGAAGAATCTGGTGAGACAGGAAGGGTTCGATCCCTGGTCCCATCTTCCTGGGCACAGGAAGCCCTCTCAGTCGTATCCTGCCCCAGGATTCATGGACCTCCGCACCAGCTCTGAGGGGGCGACCTTGGCACATTGACCAAGGGGGAGGATGCATCCCTGAGTTCCAGGAGGCAGATGCCCACCACAACCCCTTAGCTCACTCCCTTTCCTTCTAGACCACCTGCTCTAGTCTCTCACAACTCCAAATACTTCACAAGCTGGGATTACCGCCTTTAGCCTTTATCAGGGGCCAGGCGCTGTCCCAAGCACTTTACATCTCTCGGCTCTTTTCAGGTCTACCTGCTCCCTCCCTGGTCCTCACAAGCCATTCCCCACAGGCAGCCAGAGGGACCCTGTGCACACCCAGGTCACAGCACGTTCCTCTGCTCAGAGCCCACCGTGGTCCCCGAGGTCCTGTCCGACCTGCGCCCCCCTACTTCTCCATCCTTATCTCCCACCAACTGGCCCTCATTCACTCTTCCCCCCACCCCCGTCAGGCCTCCCTATGACCCAACCTCCTCCAAGTTATTCCAACAGGGCAGGCACAACCCTGCCCCAGGGTCTTTGCAGGGGGCCGTTCCCTCCACCTGGACCACTTTTCCCTCAGATACACCCAAGGCTCCCTCCCTCACCTCCACCAGGTCTGTGCTGAAATGTTCCCTCCCAGGGAGCCTTCCCTGACCACTCTATTTAAAGGGACAGTGCCCCTCTCCCACATTCACATACTTTCCCCATCCCCTTCCCGTCTTATTTTTCACTATCTGACATGTTATATATTTGAATTATTTATTTTCCCCAAATTTTATTTATTTTGTTGTTATTGTTGAGAATATACACAGCAAAACATATACTAATTCAACAGTTTCTACGCCTATATTTCAATGACATTGATTACATTCTTTGAGTTGTACAACCAGTCTCACCCTCTTTTTCCGAATTGTTCCTCGCCATTAACATAAACTCACTGCCCTCTAAGGGTCCTATCTAATCTTTGAGTTGCTGTTGTCAATCTGATCCCATATAGATGGTTCTTAAAAGAGCATAATGCTCAAGGCAGACCTTTTTCACTAGTTAAGCTAAACTATTTTTCTGTTTTAAGATGACTTCAGGGGATATTTTTTGTTTAAGGGCAATAGTTTCAAGGATTCATCCACCCTCCATGGGTCCAGAAAGTCTACAGTCCATGAAATTCCCTTTTGATCAGGATTATTCTATGGAATCTTTGATCCAAATGTTCAGTAATAGTAGCCAGGCACCATCTAGTTCTGGTCTCATGGCAAAGGAGGCAGATGTTCATGGAGGCAATTAGCCACACATTCCATATCCTCCTCCTATTCCTGACTCCTTCTTCCTCTGTTGTTCCAGGTGAATACAGACCAATTGCTGTGCCTTGGATGGCCACTTGCAAGCTGTTAAGACCGCAGGCACTTAGTAACAAACCAGGAGGTAGAACAGAAGCACTAAACACGTTATTAGGCCAATTAACTGGAACGTCCCATGAAACCATGACCCTAAACCTCCAAACCAAAGAACCAAATTCTACAAGGTGTTTGGTTGTACATAAACAGCCTTAGCAGCTACTCTTTTTTTTTTTTTTGTCATTGTTGTAAGCATATCTATCACACAACTAGCCAATTCAACATTTTACAGATGTACAACTTACTGAAAGCAATTACAATAATCGGCTCTGCAACCTAACCTTAATCAATGTGATTTTTCCATCACCCTTAACCCCCCCTTTACCCCTTTCTCCCACCCCTGGCATCCACTAATAAACTTTGGTCTCTAAACATTTGCCTTTCCTTCTTTTTTTATATAAGTGAGGTCATACAATATTCGACCTTTTGTGATTGGCTTATTTCGCTCAGCATAATGTCTTCAAGCTCCGTCTATACTGTAGCATGTATCAGGACTTTATTTCTCCTACTGGTTGAGTAATATTCCATTGTATGCATGTACCGCATTTCGTTTATCCATTCATCTGTTGATGGGCATTCAGGTTGTTTCCACTTTTTGGCTATTGTGAATAGTGCTGCAATGAACATTGGTGTGCAAGTCTCTTTTTGAGTCTCTGCTTTCAAGCCTTTTGGGTATATACCTAGAAGTGGAATTGCTAGGGCATATGGTAGTTCTATTTTTAGTTTTTTGAGAACCCCCCACACTGTTTTCCACAATGGCTCTACCATTTTGCATTCCCACCAGCCATGGATAAGGGTTCCAATTTCCCTACATCCTCATCAACATTTGTTATTTTCTGTTTTTTATTCTCCCAGTCAGTAGTCTGTCTTTTCACTTTTTTGGTAAAGTTTTTTGATGAACAAAAGTTTTTAATTTTTACGAGGCCCCCATTTATTTATTTTGTCTTTTGCTGTTTGCGCTTTTGTTATTATACTAGATAATCCATTGTTGAAAACTAGGCCTGACTGCGTTGCCCCTACCTGTTTGTTCTTCTAAGAATCTCATGGTTTTAGTCTTCACATTTTTGTCCTTAATGCATTTAGAATTTGTTTTTGTGTATGATGTGAGGCATGGATCCTGTTTAATTTTTCTGCATGTGGAAATCCAATTTTCCTAGCACCATTTCTTGAAGAGACTCTTCTTTCCCCATCAGATGGACTTAGCACCCTTGTCAAGAATCAGTTACCATAGATATGTGGGTTTATTTCTGGACTCTCAATTCTATTTCTTTGGTCTATGTGACTATTGTTATACCAGTACCAGGCTGTTTTGATTAGTGTAGCTGTATAGTATGTTTTAAAATCAGGAAGTGAGAGTTCTCCTACTTCGTTTTTTGCTTTCAACACTGCGTTAGCTATTCACGGGCCTCTTGCCATTCCATATAAAGTTGAGGATTGGTTTTTCCATTTTCTGTAAAGAAGGCTGTAGAAATTTTGTTCTAGATTGTGTTGAATCTATAGATCACTTTGGGTGGTACTGACATCTTGAGACTATTAAGTCTTGCAGTCTATGAACATGGAACATCTTTCCATTTATTAAAGTCATCTTTAATCTTTCATCAGTGTTTTATAGTTTTCATTGTATAAGTCCTTCACCTCCCTGTTTAGATTTATTCCCAGGTATTTTATCTCTTAGCTGCTATTTTAAATGGAATTGTTTCCCTAATTTCCCTTTCAGAGTTCACATTAGTGGTACATAGAAACCCAACTGATTTTTGTTTGTTGATCTTGTACCTTGCAACTGTTGAATTCCTCTATTAGCTCTAGAAGTTTTCTTGTGGACTCTTTGGGATTTTCTATATATTTTCTATATATCTATATTTGGATATTTCTATATATCTATATATAGGATCATGTCATCCATGAATAGAGACAATTTTACTTTTTTTTTCCAATTGGGATAATTTTTATTTCTTTTTCTTGTCTTATTACTCTGGCTAACACTTCTAATACAATATTGAATAGAAGTGGTGAGAGTGGGCACCCTTGTCTTGTTCCCAATTTCAAGGGGAAGACTTAATTATTTTTTATCTGTCTGCCCTACTAGGATGTCAGTCTACAAGGGTAGGGGGTCTTTGTCTGTCTTGTTTATGGCTCTAACCCCAGTGCCTAGGCACAGGGTTGGCTCCCAATGAAGAAATCCAACAAAGAAAAAATAAACAACAATCATATGTGTCAGTTTGATTATTATCTCCATTTTAAAGCCATAAAATATACTAAGACTTACATAGCGCTTATTTTACTCAAGTCCCTGGGTGGTGCAAAGGGTTAATGTGCTCAGCTGCTAACTGAAATCTTGCAGGTTTGAGTCCACCCAGAGGAGCCTCAGAGGAAGGCCTAGTGATCTACTTCTGAGAAATCATACACTGAAAACCTTATGGAGCACAGTTCTACTCTGACACACATGGGGTTACCATGAGTGGGAATCACCTCAACGGCAGCTGGTTATTTTACCTAAGGCACGTTTTTACACATTGAATCCTCACAGCAACCCCACTTTACAGAGGGATACTAAAGCACAGAGAGGTTTGGCAGCTTTCCTAGTCATACAGCTGGTAAGCGGCAGAGGTGGCATTTGAACCCAGGTGGCCTGGCTCTGAGCCTACGATATTAGTTCATGCTGTCACACCATCAGTTCTAATCCACCCTCTCAACTCTGGTGAGCCCTCCCTGACCCTTCCTGGGCCCTAGGTTCCCTCACCTGATCTGACCACCCAGCCCTGGATTTCCTAGATCAGGCCTGGTCTTTGGCCATCTGTTTGGGTGGCAGAGAGCCCCCTCCACAGCCAGGGTGGAGGAAGAGAAGAAGACCTACCCCAGGGCCCAGAAACTCCCTGTTCCATAACCCCCCTCGTAGCCCAGCAGCCCTGGGCTGGTCTTACCTCCTCATGTGCTCATTAGCCACTCCTTGGATGTAAATGGACATTCCCACGCTGAGGCCTCCTGGGATGGGCTTGTTGTAGGGCAGAGTCTGTAGAAAGGGCCAAGTGAGGAACCTTGAAGGCCATCCACCTGTTGCAGCCCTCACCCCTTACAGAGGAAGCCCCCCTTCCCTTAAGAAGGGGAGAAGAAACTAAGGGGTGAGGGTCAGTGTGACGAGGAAGAGGCCAGGAGTCGGGGTGGACATGAATGCCTTACGGTCAGGCAGGGAGTTAATCAGGTCCCAGGACCAGTGTTGGGTAAGTCAGGTGGGGGCCCACAAGTGTTAGAGTGGGCCGGAGCCTGGGGTAGGACCTGGGCTGATCGCTCACCGGGCTGTAAGTGGGCTGGTAGCCAGGTGCAGGGACATAGGCCATCTTGAGAGGCTGGGCTGGTGGTGCGTCTTGCGAGAAGAGCTGCAGGAGTGGGGAATGGTGACAGGTGGCAGGTGGCTCTTATATCCAAGAATCAGGGAGTGGCTGGCAGGTCAAGGTCCATGGGGGACCTTCCTCAGGGGATCCCAGCTCCCCACTTCTCCTTGGGCACCCCCTAGTCTCCCTCTTCTTATCAGTCTCACTGGTGGTCAGCCAGGATCTGAATGATCTGGGTCAGGCCTGGGGGGCTCAGGCCAGAGTCCTCTCCCCCCAGACCCCTCTGCAAAGAAGAAGTGAGAGTGAACTTCGGCCTTGCCAGGGTCTTATCAGAGCCTATAAAACCCTGCCCAGAACTTTGTTGGCAGAGGGAGGGTGGTACCAGGAGGGTTGGGCAGGGCTGCAGGAGTGACCAGAACAGGTGGACAGTGGAAGTTGGTGAAAGCAGGTGGAGCCAGAATTGGGGGCTCCTGACTCTCCCAGGAACAGTGAAAGGACCTACAGTGATTGCATGCCCACTGCATTCTTCTCCTGTGTACATTGTACTGCATAGTAGCTTACAGCACTAACTCTGGAGCCAGAGGTTCTGGGTTCAAATCCTGCTCTCCCGGTTGTGGACCTTTGGAAACCACCTTAACCTCAATTTCCCCATTTGCCCATCTGTAAAATGGGGATAATAATAGCATGAGCCTTATAGTCCTTGTAAGCAATGAGTAGGTTAATAAATATAAAATGCTTGCAACAGGACTTAGCATATAGGAGGCACTGAAATTAACACTTGCTTTCTTGTCCTGAAGGTGTCCCTTGCTGATAAAAAAGGTTAAACACTTGCCTACTAACCAAAAGGTTGGCAGTTCAAACCCACCCAGAGGTGTCTCAGAAGAAAGGCCTGGTGTTATGGATTGAATTGTGTCCCCCAGAAATTTGTGTCAGTTTGACTAGGCCATGATTCCCAGTATTGTCATCTGATACGATTTTCCTACGTGTTGTAAATCCTAGCCTCTATGATGTTAATGAGGCAGGATTAGAGGCAGTTATGTTAATAAGGCAGCACTCAATCTACAAGATTAGGTTGTGTCTTAAGGGAATCTCTTTTGAGATATAAAAGAGAGAAGCAAGCAGAGACATGGGGTACCACCTACCACCAAAAAACAAGAGCCAGGAGAACAGCTCATCATTTGGACCCGAGGTCCCTGCGCTGAGAAGCTTCTAGACCAGGGGAAGATTGATAACAAGGACCTTCCCCCAGAGATGACAGAGAAACCGTTCCCCTGGAGCTGGCACTCTGAATTCGGACTTCTAGCCTCCTAGACTGTGAGAGAATAAATTTCTCTATTAAAGCCATCCACTTGTGGTATTTCTGTTATAGCAGCACTAGATGACTAAGACAGAATTTGGTACTGAGAGAGTGGGGTGCTGCTCTAACAGATATCTAAAATGTGGAAACAGTTTTGAAACTGTGAATGGATAGAGGCTGAGTTTTTAAAGTGCCTAATAGTAAAAGCCTAGATTGCCTTAAAGAGACTGTTGGTAGAATTATGGACATTGAAGACAATTCTGGTGAAGACTCTGAAGGAAATGAGGAGAGCTGTTACACTGGAGACAGTGCAGACAGCGAGAAGCAGCAGCAGAACCAGAAGACCAGTGCTAGATGGCATTGGAGTCAACCTGCAGAGCAAGATTGCTGAGTGCCTTTGGCAGAGGCTTCCTGCCAGAGTGGAATGCCTCCAGGTACTTATTGGTGGGGCTACAGAGCTTTGGAACACTTGCCCAAACAGGGCAGAAGCCGGCTGTGAGGCCAGAGAGGCTTTAGAGGCCAAGGAATCAGGAAGCAGAAAACTGAAGAGACAAGGAACACAGGAAGCAGAACTGGCTCAGTCTCAAAGGGTAAGGCCACAACCTCTGGGGTCTCAAAGGGTGAAGTCGCCAGTAAGATGGACTAGAATGGGGCCCCTTAAAGACAAGGGAGCAGAGTTGCTGTCCCAGTTGGCCTGGAAAGTGGAGCTGAAGCCCAGGGCCGAGAGGTCTCCACCCAGAATCAGGACAGTGTGGCCAAAACCCACAGTCTGGAGGGCAGGGCCATCGCCTAAATGGTCTCAGAGAACACAGGATTATCTTCAAGCCTTGAGAGGTAATGTAATGTGTTCTGCTGACTTGCTTGGTGCCCGTCATCCTTTCTTTCCCTCTGATTTCTCCCATTTGTAATGGAAATATGTAGCTGGTGCCTGTTCCACCGTTGTACTTTGGAAGCAGAAAATTTGTATTCTAGATTTCACAGATGAAGAGTAATTTTTAGATTTTGAACTTGGAGTCCATTTATGATATGATGGGGTAAATGTGTTTTACATGTGGCAAGGGCATGAATTTTTGGGGGGCAAAGGTTGGAATGTTATGGATTAAATTGTGTCCCCAAAAAATGTGTCAACTTGGCTACGCCATGATTCCCAGTACTGTGATTGTCCACCATTTTGTCATCTGATGTAATTTTCATATGCGTTGTAAATCCTACCTTTATGATGCTAATGAAGCAGGATGACACGTACTTATGTCAATAAGGCAGGACTTAAATCTACTAGACTGTATTTTGAGTCACTCTCTTTTGAGATATAAGAGAAAGGGGGGTGGGGGGCAGGATGACCTGATGCCACCAAGAAACAAGGGCAGCTTGTCCTTTCAGCCAGAGGTCCCTGCACTAAGAACCTCCTAGACCAAGGGAAGACTGACTATAGGGACCCTCCCCCAGAGCCCACAGAGAAAGCCTTCCCCTGGAGTTGCCAACCGGATTTCAGACTTCCAGGCTTCTAGATTGTGAAAGAATAAATTTCTCTTTGCTAAACCCATCCACTTGTGGTATTTCTGTTACAGCAGCACTAGATAACTAAGACACCTGAGGAACTACTTCTGAAAGGTCCCAGCCATGAAAACCCTATGGAGCAGTTCTACTCTACACACACTGGTAGCCATGAGTCTGAATCGGCTCAGTGGCAACTGTGGGCTCTTTTTCTCATTCCAAACACATAAATCCAGGAGGGTGGGAGTATATTCGGATAAGAAAATCTGAAGCTGAAAGCAATGAGGTAGTTGGCCCGAATTGGATAGCAAAGAACAGAGCCCAGAATCAAACCGCACGCTGACTCCAGGCCCGGATCCCACAGTTGTACAGGCTGGTGACGGACACTCTCCACTTAGGGGCAGGCAGTAGACCACCTGGAACCTCCTAGCCCAGGGGGAGCCCTGAGACCTGCATTTGCTCCTACGCCCCCAGACTACTGGCCCGCGCCTGCCCGCCCTAGCTCCGGATGGTCATCACCTGCAGGGCACCCATTCCACTGGTCAGATCTCTGTCCCCAACCTTCAGCACAACTGTGGTCCTTGCAGCCCCCAGGCATAGCTCAGCTCCTCTCCTCCCTCCCCAAGGTCAGCAGGTTCTTTATATGGTTTTATTGTTCACGGGGCAAAGACAAGGCCTTGTGCTGGAGGAAATCCGTGTTGAAAAGTTATAAACTGGGAGACTGTGTGAGAAGTCACCACGGCAGCACAAAGCTAGACCAGGGCATGCCGGCTCTCAGAGCTTGGAGAAGGTGACGCTTTTCAGTTCCTTCTTCTCCATCGCAGCCTGGACAGACTTCACGATGTCATCGGTTTGCAGCATGCTCATGTTCCAGTTGCGCGGCAGAAAGAGGGTCACGGCAACAGAAGATGCGGGGAAGATTAGGGTTGGACCAATGAAAATCGGGGGGTAGCCAATAGCCCACCAATCAGAGCATACGGCATACAGCAGGCTGCTGAGCTCTGATTGGCTGCACTGGAATGGGAGACGAACTGTGATTGGCCGAAAGGAAACGCTCACCACGAAGTTGAGGCTGTCAGCCACCGGATGGTCGCGGGCATAGAGCAGGTTGACTTTAGTGCCCTGCACCGCCACGGGGCTCTTGCTGGAAATCTCCGCTGCTAGGGAGAAGGCTGCGTCAAACAAGACCTCCTTGTCTGGGAACACCCGACTGTGGATGAAAGGGAATCAAGAATCGGGTGGCTGGGAGAAGCTTCCTCACCTCTTTTGTCCTCCCACCTGCAGAAGAGGAAGTGGCCAATCACAGGAGAAGGTGAAGACCCGCAGTAAAACGGGCCAATCAGAGCAGGGCACTAGACTCCCAAATAAAGGAATGTCCACTCAGAGAAAGCCTTGAGTGGAGCCACAGCGGGGCTGAGACCCCACCCGGGCGGGCTGCCCCGCGCACCGCCGGCCTTGGCCCTACCTGACCAGCCCACTGCTCCGGGCCTCGTCAGCCATCAGCTTCCGGGCGGTGAAGGCCAGCTCGTTGACCAGGCTGCAAGAGGGGGGAGTGTCAGGGGACTGCAGTCTTCCCGGGTCTGGGGGTGCCCTGTGGTCCTCTTCCCGCCTCCCCCTCTCACATCTGGCTCCCAATGACCCGAGGCAGACGCTGCAGTGTTCCCACGTCAGATGCCACACCCATGTCCACCTCCTGGGGGCAGTAATCTCATTTTTATTTACCACTGAGGTTGACCCCCCAGCCCAGCCTGGTCGCCCCATGCCCCAACTCAGAGGCTCCCCAAACACCCCATCCCATTCCCATCAACACCCTTTGACCAGGCAGGGTCCTTCAGTCTGGAATAGAGCCCACCTTTCAACTCCCTCTGCCCTCTCAACTGTTTAGGGTCAGCCAAGCCTATCTCCCAAGGGAGGCCCTCCTAACACTGCCCATCTGACCCTGTCCTGCGTCCCTGGGCTCCGTGCTGCCTCCTGCCCTCCCCAGCGCTGACGCCATCAGCAGCCCCAGCCTCCAGCAGGTGCCAGCCTCATCCCATGCCCTGTTCCCTCCTGACCTCACCTGGATGGCCTACCCTCGTTACCTCCCATAATTACTTTTTCCCTATGGATCTTTTTTCATTTTTTTATTACGTTAGGTGAAGGTTTACAGAGCGAATTACCTTCTCATTAAACAATACATTGGTTATCAACCGCACGACATGCCAACACTCTCCCCTTCTTGACCTTGGGTTCCCCATTACCAACTTTCCTGTCCCCTCCTGCCTTCTCGTCCTTGCCCCTGGGCTAGTGTGTCTCCTTAGTCTTGTTTTGTTTTATGGGCCTGTCCAATCTTTGGCTGAAGGGTGAACCTCAGGAGTGACTTCATGACTGAGCTAAAAGTGTGTCCAGGGACCATAGTCTCGGGGTTTCTCCAGACTCTGTCAGACCAGTCAGTCTAGTCTTTTTTTTCTCTCAGAATTCTGTTCTACATTTTTCTCCAGCTCTGTCCGGGACCCTCTAATATGACCCGTCAGAGCAGTCAGTGGTGGTAGCCAGGCACCATCTAGTTGTACTGGACTCAGTCTGGTGGAGGCTGTGTTAGTTGTGGTCCATTAGTCCTTTGGACTAATCTTTCCCTTGTGTCTTTGGTTTTCTTCATTCTCCCTTGCTCTAGACGGGGTGCAACCAGTGGAGTATCTTAGATGGCCACTCACAGGCTTTTAAGATCCCAGATGCTATTCACCAAAGTAGGATGTAGAATATTTTCTTTATAAACAATGTTATGCTAATTGAGCTAGATGTTCCCCAAGATCAGGGTCCCCAGCCCTCAGCCCAGTAATTTGGTCCCTCAGGGAGTTTGGATGTGTCTAGGGAGCTTCCACGACCTTGCCTTGGACAAGTCGTGCTGGCTTCCCCAGTATTGTGTACGCTCTTTCCCTTCAACAAAGCTACCACTTATCTATTGTCTAGTTAGTGTTTTTCCCTCCCACCCCTCCCCTCCTATGTAACCGTCAAAGATTGTTTCTTTTTGTGTGTAAACCTTTTCATGAGTTTTTATAGTGGTTTAATACAATATTTGTCCGTCCGTAATTGAATTATTTCACTCAGCATAATGCCCACCAGATTCTTCCACATTGTGAGATGCTTTCCAGATTCATCGTTGTTCTTTAATCACTACATAGCATTCCACTGTATGTACCATAGTTTGCTTATCCATTCATCTGTTGATGGGCACCTAGGTTGTTTCCATCTTTTTGCTATTGTGAACAATGCTGCAATGAACATGGGTGTGCATACGTCTATTCGTACGACAGCTCTTATTCTCTAGCCAAGCCTTACTTTTTAAGGTTCAGATTTGACTAAGTCTTCCCGGAAGCGCTTGGGCTCCTCCAGGCCCTCGTGGCCCGCTCACTGCCCAGTTTAAGGGGGAAGTAAGGACGGGGGAGGCACATGGGGAGCAGAAGTTCGGGGGAGGATGGCTCACCTTCACCTGGAAGAACGCGTCCTTGGCACAGTAGCGGATGTCACAGGCGGTGATGAGGTCCACACCTGGGATGGAGAGGCCGGGACACTAAACAACCCCTCCATCTGGGGACATGGGCTTGCACCTGGGGATCAGGTGTAAGCAGCCACACGTCTGAGGCTGTAGGCCACTGGCTGAGGCGGAAGGACAGCAGCCAAGAGGGGCCCAGCCAGAGTGAACGCCCTGGGTGGGGCTGCAGACTCACCTGCGCCAATGCAGCCCCCATGGATGGCTGCGATGACGGGCTTGGGGCACTGGAAGAAAAGGGAGCAGCGGGGTCAGGGCCGGCTAGGAGAGGTGGGCAGTGGGGACGCCCTCCCACCCCCAGAGTCACCTTCTCGATGACGCTGAAGGTCTCCTGGTGTTTGCTGAGGAGGTTATGGATGTACCAGCTTATGCAGACCATGTCTTCTCCCTGGGGCTGAAGGAGCACTGAAGCCATGTCCATGAGTTCGATACCTGGCAGTGGGGGTAGGTTAGGAAAGGGTTCACCGAGCCTCCCAGGCCCCACTCATTGCCCCAACCAGGGGTCCGAACCCGAGAGTAGCAGTTAGGACCCCCCAAACCACTACAGTGGACAGAAAACCAAATGAATAAGAAAACATATTTTGTCAGGTAGTGCAAAGTGCTAACGAGAAATTAAAGGAAGGAAGAAAAGATGGTGTGTGTGTGAGTGTGTGTGTGTGTGCGTGCAGCAAGGGCTGTTGCAGGGTTAAATGAGGTGCTCAGGGATTCTCTCGCTGAGGAGGTGACATTTGAGTAAAGACCTGAAAGAGGGGAGGGAGAAAGCCATGCGGATGACTGGGTGAGAGAGCTCCAAGTATTGGGCACAGCCAGTGCAAAGGCCCTGTGGTAGCAATGTGACTGGTCTGTCTGAAGACCATTGAGAAGGCCAGAGCAGGTGAGGCGGGGGGACAGTGGGGAGAACTAAGTTCAGATAGGTGACAGAAGCAGGTTGCAGGGGTCTGTGGGCCATGGGGAGGACTCTGGCTTTTACCCTGCATGAGATGGAGCCACGGGAGGGTTCTGGGCTGAAAAACCCTTCACTTTCTTCCATCCACAGTTAATCACTCTCACCCCTTTGTCTGGCCCCTTAACAGTGCTGTCCGTCAGACCCTGAAAAACTGTCCATACCTGTGGCCACACCACCAACTTGGCGGCTTCACTGCCTCCACTTCTTGCTGAAACAAGCGAGACCATAGGAGCATTGGCACTGAGTAGAGCTGAACTTGTGCAAGTGAAATTCATGAAGGCAGGACTCCCCCTGCGTGACCTGGGCCAGGCAACTTCATCTTCTGAGCCTGGGGTGTCTTCTCTGGAAAACGAGTATAAAATCCTCCGAAGAGCTGACAGGGCAGCAAAGATTCAAGGAGACGGAGCCCCCAGAAGCGCTTCGCACAAGGCCTGGCATGCAGCAGCATCACAACAGTTACTATTAATATAGAATCCACTTCGGTAGACAGGAAAGAAACCGAAGACTCAGAAACTAATTAGTCTATATGACTAATAGTCTACGTGAACCATGGCCTCATCTACCCTGAGACCAGAAGAACTAGATGGTGCCCAGCCACCACTACTGACCGTTCTGAGCAGGGCCACAATAGATGGATCCTGACAGCACAGGAGAAAAATGTGGAACAGAACCTCAGATTCTTAAAAAGTCCAGACTTACTGGACTGGTTGAGACTGGAGGACTCCCTGAAACTATTACCCTGAGATACTCTTTAAACCTTGAACCAAAACTAGCTCCTGAGATCATCTTTTATCTAAACAACAGATTGGCTTCTAAAATAAAGAACATAACCCGCGAGTACTGAGCTCCTTTAAAAAATCATCTATATGAGACCAAATAGTCAACAATCACTCTAATGCAAAGATGAATGGGTAAGGGGGCAGGGAAACTAGATTACTGGAAACGTAATAACCAGAACAAAATTAATGAGAAGGTTGACACAGTGTGAAAAATCTAATCAATATCACTGAATAATTTGTGTAGGAATTGTTAAATAGGAAGCTAATCTGCTGTGTAAACTCTCAACAAAAACACAATATTATTTGAAAAGAAAGAAAGGAGTGAATGTGACATTTCACTTCTGGTAGGGTCCTGAAGGCCCAACCCTCCTGCAGGTAACAACCATGAACTCTGGCTGGCAAGATACAGGAAAGCCACTACTGAAGGCACTGGGCTGATTCTGGGGGGAGTCAGCACTTAGAAGAAGGGATAGCACCAAGTGACTTACCTGCTCCTAAGGCTTTTAGCCTGAGAGCAGGATAAAGTAGTGCCTGAAGAACCAAAGGCCAGGGGCGGGGTGTATAACTGCTGGAAAATGAGGGAGAAATCCCAAAAAGAAGACAGCCAGAGAGGGGAGCCCCAAATTCTGTGCATAAACTCTGCCCATATCTCTGGCTAACTCATGAACTGTGCAGGCAGGCCAGCAAAAGATAGAAAAACTGAACTGAAATTTGAACTGTTGCCATAGATATAAGACTTTACACTTATTTCCAACCAAACCACTAAAAAGGAAATGCAACACTCTTTGGAGTTATATACCAAAATCCAGAGTCTCCACAACATCATATCCCCAATATCCAGGATGCAATCCAAAATTAGTCAAATTACCAAAAAAAAAAAAAAAAATGAGAAAATGAGACCCATTTTCAAGAGAAAGACAAGAAACAGAGACTGACCCCAGGATGACCCAAATTTTAGAATTAGGAGAAAAAGATTTTAAACCAGACATTACATCTACGCTCAATGACACACAGAAAGAGGCTTCTGATAAATACAAATGTAGGAAACTTGAGCAGAGGAATGGGGAACATACAAAAGAACAAAATAGAAATTTGAGAACTGAAAAATGTAATATCTGAAAATAAATAAATAACTGGATGGGCGTACCAGCGGAATAAACATGACAGAGAAAAGAGTGAATCTCATCAGTGGAAATGACTCAACCTGAAAAACAGACCTGTGGGGCAATCGAAAGATTGACCATACATGTATTTGGGTGGCACAAACGGTTAAGCACTCAACTACTCACCAAAGGTTGGCAGTTCAAACCCACCCGGAGGATCTGCTTCTGAACGGTCATATCCTTGAAAACCTTACAGGGCACAGTTCTACTGTGACTCAACAGCAACAGTTTTTTTTTTTTTTTTTTTGGTTTATGCAGAAATCAGTTAATGTGTGTCAAATAATTGCATGAAAGCATGTTACTATTACAGGGAAACCTGTGAGAGCCGGAACTCAATGGGACTGCCTTGTTTTTCCAGGTCTTGAAAGTCCCCCTACATCGGACTTTATACTCATTTCCAACCAGTCTACTAAAAAGGAAATTCAGTACTCTTTGGAGTTATATAACAGAATCCCGAGTCTCCACATCGTATTCCCAAAACGATGGGGATGCAGTCTTACCACTTTTCTATGGCTCTCTATTAGTGGAAAATATTTTTCCTTTCCTGCTCCGACAGGTTTCTGCCTCACACACGTTCCGGCTCTCAGAGGTTTTATTCTAGAACACACTTTACAAACACAGACACCAAGACTCAGAGGTTAAGTGCCTTGTCCAAGGTCACAGATCCAGGATGGAAACCCAGACGTCAGAGCCCATGACCCGGTCATGTTCTGTTGGGCTAAATTCTGTATTAGAATGTTTTAAATTAGGCCTTTTATAAAAAAGATAAAAGTAGTTAGAAGCTGCTCTATTTCCAGGAGTGGGAGAGACTGGTGGGGGTGGCTGTGAAAACTACACTTGGTACCTGAAGTGAACGTTCTTCCTTCACCAGAAACCACCACAGCGCGACAGCTGGCATCTTCTGATATCTTGTTGAAGCACTCCACCATCTCACTGTGGAGGAGCAGGGAGAAAAAGCCTGTGTCTGGAGCAGGAATCCTCTACCCTCACATCCATTTACCCCCTGCACTCCACCCTATCCCGTCCCTCAGCCTCTGCCTCCTCCTGCATGCAGGCCTCCAGGATACACAGGTCAGACCTCCAGAAGGCCCTGTTCATGGCATTCCTCTTTTCGGGCCAGTTTATCTGCACGTGCAGAATGTGTTCTGGGCCGGATGTCACTTGAAGAGACTGATAGCTGTGGCCCGGTGCCTCAACCGGGGCTGCTTTGGAGGCTTCATCTTGCACAGTGGAGCTCATGGGGCGAAGGCTAAATGTCAGTCCCGGCTGAGTGGGGGCCAAAACCCTGGGAAGAAAAAGGAAGAGTGATGACCCCAGACAAAGACCCTCTGGTCCCTCCAGACTGAGAGACACAGACTCTTCTATCACCCAGACTGGGGACACAGCACCTTCAGGAGCAGAGAGTACACTCCTCAGCGACCCCAAAATGGGGAGGACTCGTTTAGGACGATTCAGCCTTCAAGATTAGGGGTGCCTCCCTCAGCAGTGGCCTCGGTTTGAGAACCACCTCAGATCCTTGAACTTGGACTAATCCCGGATTAGGAACACTGCGCCGTCAGCGAACCCAGATTGGAACACAGGCTCCCAGAACTGGGGTGACATTCTGATCGGAGCGCATGGACCCCTGACCCCGTGACCTCGTACAGGCGCTTTGTGTCCTATGGTCGCCATGGCAGCACGACATCCGCGCCGAGCCCCCAGAAGTCAAGGGATCACTCACGCCGCGTCACCAGCCCCCAGAGTCCGCGAGAAGCCGCCGCCGCCACCGCCATTCGGACAGAGGATCGACTGTAAGCATCTGGAGGACGCCAAAGGGGCGGTCCCGGCAGGCCGCCATCTTGAGTGAGGGCATCGAAGCCCCATCGAAGCCACATCCGGCCCAGCGGGCAAGCCTTTCGTCCCGCCATCTCTATTAAGGGCAACCGGAAATTGCTGAGTTACCGAGAGGCGTGGAAATGGAAACTTTCAACCGGTAAGTTACAAAAAGTCTTAGAAGTGTGACCTTTAGCCTAGTTAAGTCCGCTTCTAGAAACCTGGCCCAAGAAAATAAGTCACACTATTGTTGGATAAAGTTTCTGTATAAAGGTCATCACAGCTTTGTTTTGTAATGGTGGAGAAGGTGGACACGGCCGTAATGTCCCGGGAGGGCGTTAACTGCAGAGTTGCAAGCTTGTAATTATGTTGTATTCCGTGTTAACCAAAAAGGAAAAAAAAAAAAGTTGACATCCAGCTCTGTGAGCTTCCCCACGTGAAAGGGATAAAAGTAGAGACGGGCAGCGTTGAACGCTGACTGTGTACCATGCTGAACTAAATGCATGTACCTAATCTGAATTTCCACACCACCACGAAGGGTACTATTTTCCATTGGACACAGAGGAAATGGGATCAGAGGGGAAGCCACTAGTTCAAGGTCGCTGGGCAGTTCAAAACCACCAGCCGCTCCTCGGAAACCCTATGGGGCAGTTCTCCTCTGTACTATAGGGTCGCTGTGAGTCGGAATTCGCTCAAAGACAATGGGTTTGATTTTTTGGGCTTCAGTAGTACTGAAGCGGAGTTGTGGCTCCAAAGTCCATGTTCTTAAGGTATTTGTTAAAAAGATAAAGTCATTTTGGAAAAACAGCATATAAGGAAGTGCTGTAAAACTGCCGAGCAATGAATGTTAAGGAAGATGATCACTAAGGCAGTAAAGGATGTGCCTCTGGGCAGATGGGACTGAAGGTGATATCTTTCTTTCTTAATGAACATGTCTCATCCATTTTTGCAGACTAGATAGACTGGCTCTTTAGGAAAAGAGTACCAGAGGCTCACTATCCATCAAGAGAGGACTGTTCATCTACAAAATAACTGAAACCCCAGTGCAGCTACTGAGAAAAGTTAAGATACAGAACGTTGTGTGTGACCACTGGGTGTGTAATAGATGGTTGTACGTGTCTGTGTAACAGCCTTGGTGGTACAACAGTTAATTAAGCACTTGGCTGCTAACCGGAAGTTGTGGGTTTTAACCCACCCAGGCACTCGGTGGGAGAAAGACTTGGTGACCTGCTTCTGTAAACATTACCTATTGCCATCGATTCCATTCCGAGTAGAACTGCCCCATAGGGTTTCCAAGGAGCAGCTGGTGGATTCAAACTGCTGACCTTTTGGTTAGCAGCCGTAGCGCTAAACCAGTGTCATCAGGGATTTGGGTAGGTTAAAAAAAGAATCCTACTTGATTTAGAAGTTTTTGGCTGGAAGACAAGTGTACTTTCACCTTGCCGGAGGTTGTTTGAAACTTTCCCTGGTGAAGCACTTAGTTCATCTGATGCCATGTGACTTCAGAAGATGTCAATGATGTGCTCGTCAACTTCATGTAGATTCCCAAAGACTGGATTCTTTCTCAAGCTCCCGTGCGCAAATCAAGGCGCTGCACTGGAGAGCTGCTTGCTCTGCTGCAGCTGCTTCTCTCCAGCAGGTGCGAAGGTCCTCAAGCCAGAATTCTCCAGGCTAGGACCTGGCCTGGGGTCGTGCTCCCCCCACTGCAAACCATCTCCAGAAGTTCTCACCTACCACATTACAGAGCATCTATATTCTATATTCCAATACCACTGGTAGGAATTTACCTCCAGAATCCTGTAAGGGAGATGGATAAGGTATTCGTATATGCATTGCAGGACTATTTGCTGTAGCAAAAACCTGTGAATTTTCTTTGGGACCAGGTTACATAAACCGTGACACAGCCATACAATGGGATACTCTGCCGTGGCAGAGGGAGATCTTTATGTGATAGGATACAGGACATAGCACAAAGCATTCTGGGTAGAGGGACCGAGGAGACTTCTCATTTTTATCTTTCTGGAGCTTTATCTTCCAATCTTATAAAAAAACAGGTGTTTTCTCTGTAGAAGCATTAAGGGATTAAGGTCCCTTTCCCGCCTTCTTTGAAATTAAAACTTTTCAACCTCATTGACTTCTAAATGACTGTCCGAGTAGACCGAGCTTGCTTGGCTGTGGGCCGTGAGGGATACCACCAGGCCTCCTGCCAAGACTCCTCAATTCTTAGCGCCCTTCCTGGTCTGCAGCCACGGCCCGCCCGGCCCCGCTCAGGGCTGGACCCTGGCCTGCCCGCACCCTTTCAGGAGACCCAGTGGGAGGGAAAGAGGAAACACACCCTGGAGATCACCAGCAAGCGCTCTAGTTATTTTCCAAACAATTTTATTGAAATGTGCCAAGAGTACATGGGCGTCACAAATGTATGAACAGGGGGAAAAATCACATGTACAATTATTTTTTTAAAGTGAAGATTAATCTTGGGAGACATCAGTTCCCCTCCCCCTCCCCCTCCAGACTTCCAGCATTTCCATTATGGTTAAGCTCTACTAACCTAGCATTAAAAAAAGAAATACAAGAACTTTTGCAAAAAAAAAAAAAACAAACAAAAACGGCATAAAGGAAAAATGTTTTCCTGCTCAGATGGGACTCTCCTGGGCTCCAAATTAGGAGGCATGCTGAACAGTGGAGAAACACAGCTTCAGGGTGTAAGGGTATGGCCCATCTGCAAAGGAGGGGCAGAGAAGACAGGTTTAACCGGCCTCTGTGTGGCGGCTCCCCCACTTTGCACACATCTCCCATTTTCTGCAGTTCAACTGCAGGCTCTCACTGGTCACTGCCAGATATGAGACCTAAAAAGGAGCCAAACGCATAAAGCATTTCCCCTTCTCCTCCCTCGTCCTGGTGGAGAATCCCAGTGCTTGTGTACCGCCCGTGCCCGCCTCTCCAACTGAGGCTGCTGGGCGTTTACTGGCAGCTTCTGACGCTGAGAGAATGCCAGCTCCCGGGAGGACAAGCCTGAGCAACTCCCAAGCTGGCCCGGTGGGTAGCAGCAGACAGCAGGCTGGGCCTCCCGTGGGGACCATCGGGCAGCTCTCCTGGCAACCAGGTCCTGCCTGCCTGCCCGCCCGCCTGCCTATGTCAGCGACAACAGAGGAAACCTCTGGGGCCCCGTCTCTTGGCAGGAAGGGCCTGCCTGAAAGCAGTCAGCCACTAGGCCAGCCGGGGGATGACTGCAGAACACACAGATACTCACTTGGGTTCTTCATCTGGTAATGGTTCAGGAAGCCCAGCGTCTCCAGGGCATCACTCTTGGATTCCCACTCCAGCAGCCCAGAGGAGCTGCGCTCGCCTGATTAGACAGCAAGGGGAGACAAATGTCTCAGTGGACTCGCCCATCTACAGACCAGGGATTTGGGGGAAAGGCGGGGACCCTTTACTCACTTTTGCCTGAGAACACTTTCACAGAGGAGGGCCGCTTCACTCCCAGCTCGTCGCAGATCTGCAAAGGAGGAACCAAAGACTCAGAACCACAATTGGTGCCACACAGGGGAGGTCAGGCCAACTGTGCCTCACCTGGCTGAGTGCTTGGATTGTTCTGGAGAAAGGGTTTCTAACTTCTAGACAAAACAGCTTTAAAACCACCACCCTCAGTGTTGCCAAGAACTAGGAAAGGACTTTGGACATTTCCCACCTGCAGCAGCCGTCTGACTGCACTGACCCTCAGTCAGTGTTTACTAAACTGAACAGCAAACTCTCAGGCCAGAGCAACATCCAGAGTTCAGCTCTGCCAGTCAGACTTCCTCCCCGGCACAGCCCCAAGCTGCCCCAGTTCCCTCTGCCTGCACCTTCTGATGTTATCTAGGCACCCCGGGGCCCTGACAACAGGCCTGTTTTGAGACAGGACTCTGATCACTAGGCCTGTGAGGAATCTTTCCCAGCAGATGAACTCAAGAAACATAAAAAAGCATGAGGAACACTACTGTCGGCCAAAACCTAGCCCCACTCTCGGCTCATCCAGCCTACAAGCAGGATCCCAGTCTGTCCTCGTCCCTGCTATGTCTCCAGCACCCAACCCAGGGCTTGGCAGAGCAGCAGCTCAAGAGAAATTTGCTGAAAAACCAAACAAGTGAATGAACTACTCAGATGGCTGTGGTGAGGGACCAAGTGCCTGAGAAATGCCATGGCACCCACCTCAAAGAAGTTCTCCTCAGTCACCTCCAGCGGGGCATTGAAGAAATGCAGCACATTGCTGGGGTGCTGGATGCGGTTCTTTGCTGCCTGCTCCGGGGTGGAGAATCGATTGTTCCTTGAGCCGTTGAAGTCTTTGTAACTGCAGGACCCGTCCTCTAGCCCGTATGACTGACCAGGCATGATGGCTGGCTGCTTTGATACACTGTCGGAGGAACAAAAGAGGAGCCCTCTGTCGGACCCAGAAGTTGTACCCCAAGCCTTCCACTGTCGCCTTGCAGAGGCATGGATGGCCTAATAGTACCGGGAGCCTCAGGGGAGCATTGCTCAACTGCTGAGGGCAGAATGACCCACTTTCTCCCACTGCTTTAGAGAACACCTGGCAACACTCCACACCCCCACTCCTGCCTAAGCATGTCTCCCTGTGCTCCTCTGCTAGGCTGTCTCCAGAGACTGCCCCACTCCCCTTCCTTCCTCTCCTCAGTCCCTCTCCAACCTGGGGAAACTAGATCACCTACCAGACGTTCAGTTTCTGCCCGAACATGAAATTGTTGTTGAGGTGGGTGATGGCCCGGTCCACAGCATAACCATCAGCCATTTCTACCATGGCGGCCCCCGGCTTGCTTTTCATGAATTTCACCTTGGGGAAGAAGGGAAAACAGCTGCAATCTGCACCCTGCCCAGCTTCAAGGGGCCCATCTTCCACCCTTTCTGAGTTAGAAGCAAACTAGCCCCACTCTGGACCTCGGCTTCCATTTCCCCATCTGTGAGCGGAACTCAGGAGGGCAGACCCAAGGTGGGCGGCAAAGGCCAGGCAAGGCCCGGAGCCACGGGTGGGCCACTTAGTGAGGCACAGTCATCAAACA